CAGTTTCTTGCATAGGTCATTCACAAAGGCAACTAAAGACATTTCACTTCCATAGCTCAAAACATACAGCTAATTAAAATGGGTTCCAATTATATGTACCTCCAAACGTATTTGGAACTGAAATGCTACCGTTGTCATAATCAAATTAGCCAGAAATTGAATGTAATTCAATTCATTAGATCTCATAGTCCAAGAAAAGAGCTCCAGTAGAGGCTCCTTCAAGTGGGGGGTGGGGAGCACATCCTGGCTACATTGATCATCTCCCTTAGCCATGAGCCAGTCCCATCCTAGCTGATAATAGTTAAATAAGCAAATTATAGACCTTAGAGCTCCTCCCATCATACTATATCCTCAATATCTCAATACTAAAAATAATTCGAATTAACTGGACAAGGGGCTAGGTTACATCATGATCTGCTACCCTAAAAGTCAAGACAGCTCCAGCTGACTATCACAAAGAAAAATGTGACTTATTCATAATATGTCACCAGTGATCATAGTATTCATCTCCAAATGGGTTTGAAATAATTTGTCTTGAGGTAATCTCCTTTGCTTTGAGGTGCACTAACTCTTATCTTCTGGCCACAGCCAGCCACTTGGCATAGAAACCAATCATGTTTATGAAGCACACAAAGTACTGTACAGGTACATGGTACTGATTACACCAGAATGGCTGGGTTCCCATATAACACTAAGCCAAGCCATAAATCATGACTTAAAACCCATAATGAGTAGATTCATAAACATCCTTAATCCTGACAGAAACATTAAGAGTTCAGTACAATGTGGGATCCCAGACATCCACAAGGACCAACATTGTTAATAGCTTGCAAATCTGCCGCGGCAGACAGGAAAGAACAGTGCCACACTTTAAGAGAAAGGCGAGTTTATTACAGCAAACCATCTTACACAACAATAAGGCCGTCGAGCTTTAAAGGTGCCACGAGATTCTGGCGATTGAGCCTCCTGGGGGCGGGAAAAGAGGCGGGCCAGCTGCTGAGTCACAAGGCGCCATCGCCCAATCAGATAAACAGCTGACATAAAGACCAACCCTCTTTCTTCCTTCCTGTCCAAAAGCGGCGCGTACCCTCTCTTTCTTTCCCGCCCATCTCGCTCTCGAAGAAGGAGCGACAGCGAGCTTTCTCTTTAAAGTTACGCGGCAATGGGAGAAGAAGCGAGCTGCTTCTCTCGCCCCCCGCGGTTTCTCATGCGTAGTTAGTACGAGATGCTGCCTTTTCCTTTCCCACACCTATTAGTCCAACCGTTCGGCTTCCCCGTCGCCCCTAATTTCCTTCCTTACCACATATCCCCCCCACACATAAAGACAATTCCCATCGACCACGGCGCAATGCCCACTCCGTTCTTCGGCGACGCCAAACTCCTGAGGAGGAGGAGGATCAGCCGCCATCTTAGTGCGGGGAGGATTAGGAGGGAATGGGGCTCGCCCAGCCACCGTCGCCGCGCCAGTCCCCTCAGCAACCGCGTCCACAGCCACCGCCCCCTCGCTTAGAACGCCGGGCGAGCGCGGGTGCGCTGCTTACGACGCCCCCTGCCGTTGGCGGGAAAGCCCGCAAGCGGAGGGCTCCGCTGCGCGAAGCTGGAGATCGAGGAAGAGAGACGTTTTTCTGTCCTTCGAAACGGGCCGCTGGAGTCCTTTGACTGGAGCTTATATATTTAACCGGGTCACCGAATTACAGTAACTCATTTTCTGGATTCGAACAATCGACTGAAACACGAATCAAGCACATACGTTCAATTTGTACAGCGCACCAAGCCATACAAGAAAATAAACCAAAGTTAATTCTAGACAAGCTTAGAATACTGTGCAAAGGTATTCGCATTATCTGACTTGAATAATAAGCTTCGGAGGCTGGTGAATGCAAGATGTACATTTTAAAAAAATTGTATTCAGTCCTAAAAGCAGGTGTGTGAACACCTCAGGCAGGAACTAATTTTAGAGGTGAATATGTGTAGCTCAGGGTTGAACTGTGGAGTCCTTGGGGTTCTCTGAGCTTCTTTCAAACGTTTGCAAGAGATGCTAGGTAACATCTTCAGTGCTAAAATGGGATGAGGTTTGCTCTCTATTTATGTACTGTGGCCTGCCTTGCCAGTGTCGGTAAGGGTGGGGGGACAGGCACACAATCAAGCAGCAAACATGCTAATCAGAACTACCAGAGGAGCAAAACAAACCCCCCAGTGATCCTGTATTTAAAAGAAGCCCCCCAGCAACTACTGCCTGACAGTTGTTGTCAGGCTAACTTAAAAAGGCGTTTAGCACTCTTCTGAAAGAGGGGTAAACCTATTTAATTAACAAACGAAGGTGGGGAGAAATTGCATGGTGTGGGAGGAGTCTCCCTTTCTTTGTCTTGTACATGCCCCTCCCAATGTGTGTGAAACCCCTTCCTTCAAAGGAGGAGAATGGACTCAGACTTGGGATATACAGGGGAAAACTCTGACTTGAAAGTTTCAGATTCTCCTGCTACTTTGCATGGCCCGAGCCAGGGACTGAGAGGACATGTAGCCTAATATGGCCAGTTCTGCCTCTAAGGGTTACCTGACTGTGACACTCAGGGTAAGACTGCTCCAGCTTATTATCTGCTTAAAGGAAAAATGCTACCTGATCTTTTAGCTGATGATCTAAGAAAGTCTCTGTTTCAGATAAGAGATGAAGGCAATGTCATCAGGACACGCAGACAAACAAGATGGCCAGGACATGTTCACACCATGGTTAGGTACTAGTGACCAAGTTTTATCTGTCAAAATGTCTCTTGGTAAATCTACTCTTATTTGAAGAAATGGGGCTTTAGCAACTGAAGAAAAGCTTTGTGTCCATCACAACAATCCTATCTTCCCCCAGGCATTGGGGACTGGATATTAGTTGGCAGTTCCAGGTGGATGTTTCTAACATTGTTTTTATTGAGCTTTGATGCAGTTTAGTAGGTTGTTTTAATGTAATCCTTTGTTTTTGTTTGCTTTGCTACCGAGTTTCTCAGATAGATGGGTGGTCAAACAAATTAGATTAATAAAACTAGTTTCTCAGAGACAAAGCATATTAGCCTTCCAAAAACACACTGAACTACAGATTATCCCACCATCTAGCATGTTGCACCAATTCAGCCCACGTGGTTAATTTAACTGCTGTGTGCATTCTGACACTGGGTACTTTTAACACACACCCTTACATTAACCATGGGCAAACGTTGCACATACACAGGCCAGCGGGTTAGATGGGACTCTCCACTGGATGCACACAGATTGTTACTTTCATCTTTTGGCAAGGGAGGGGATGCATATTGAATAAATGCATTTATTAACACTTTTACAAAGAAGGGGCAAGCAAAAGAAGTGGAGGATTCCTCAGTGCCCCTCGGCCCCAAAACCAATGCCTAGGGTACTGTCCCACAACAAAGTGCCTTCCAGATACCATCGCCAGCCAATACGCTGGTTGTAATTCGCCCCTTGTGAGCGGGGAATGGCGCTACAGGGTAAGATGCGTAAACGGTAGCAGGGCTGGCGCTCCTGGGCAGCGTGGACCTGCTCAGCACCGCGCGAGAGGCGAGGGCGGAAGAGCTGCTTGGATGACCGGTTTGGCAGGAGCGCGGTAGGAGGAGTCGCGTCCTGGCGCGAAACGTTCAAGATGGCTGCGGAGAAGCTGAGGAGTAAAGTGAGCGCTGCTTTCCAAATGCACGGCTTGCTCCTCCGCGCGTGAGTAGCAGGAAGCAAAAGACCCCAGCCGAAGCAGCTGCCAGGCTTATAAAGCGGGCAGAGAGCCCGTGATGGGCAGATCGTTCAGCGTGGTGGATGGTGGGGGGAAAGATGAAAACACATTACAGTTCTCCCAAAGTTATTTAATCTGAATAAGGGTTAACCCTCTGTATGGCTGTTTCTGTGTGAGGAAACTATAAACTATGTTTAACGAATCACGATGGCTAAACCAAAGTCAAACCGCGTGATTAATGTGTTGTGTAAACCAGGCTAATCTGTTAAACCATCGGTTTGCTTCTTTTGACTTAACCACTGTGGTTTGTTAAACTTGGTTTACGGTTTAGTGGGTATTAATGTAAGCCATATCTTCTCAGAAATTTAATAATTAAACTTGTATGCTGCCCGGCTCCCAGTGACTCTGGGCAGCTCACAACAGTCAAATGACAATAAAATCGTAAAAGAAGATAAAAGATGGCAAGTGCGACAGACCAGATGGAATGGAAATAGGTTCAGAAGGAACTATTTTCAGTTGAAATGCAGCAGTCACGTTATACATAAGTACTTAGAGCAGTGTTTCTCAAACTTGATAACTTTAAGATGTGTGGACTTCAACTCCCAAAATTCCTCAGCCAGGATGAATTTTTGGGAGTTGAAGTCCACACATTTTAAAAGTTGTCAAGTTTGATAAACTCTGACTGACAGGTAGGTCTCTTTGCACTTAATGGTCCTAATTCTAAGTAATGCATCCAATTGCATCCCTTAAGATGTCACTGAGCATAATAATTCCTGTTTGAATAACTCCATCTTCATGTTTAGTCAAAAGTAAGTCATTTAAAACTAATGTTTGAGGTGCATGAGATACTGAGCCAGTTAAATACAATATAGCATAGCATAGAGGATTGAGCACACCACAGATGGTAAGTTTGTTGTGGGAACTCAAAAAATTGGATCCATTGAGTAAATCATACTTCATTTAAAAATTGGTAAACATGTTTTGTAAACACAACCATAGGAGTTTTGTAATAAAGGTGTTTAGAATTGCAACATTTTATTTTCCAAATATTCTTAGCTTGTTTGTCCTGGTACTGTTTATGGTTATATGGACATGACATGCCTACCCAGGGTTAATTTAATTATGGTTCACCAGTTTCCCAGGCTCGTATGACACACTGAACTATAAAGTAACCACATTTTGCCTAACACCGTATGTTAAGTTAAATTATGATGGCAGATAGTGTTTAGCGTCTTGTGCAAATATAACAGCTGTATGTTGGACTACAGCTCTTATTGTCATTGGCAGTAAAATCAGCTGACTATGTTGGCTGGAGCTGTGATGGGAGTTGTAATTGAGAAAGAGTGCAGAAAACAAAACACAAATATGCTGCTATTGGTATTATATCTTTGAATATAGTAACTGCTTTCCAGTTCTTTAATTACATAAAACTTCAAGACAGAGCTCAGTCGGTAAACTGAATATAGACCTACACTTTAAATAATATTGCATCAAAAACTAAATGTTTCATGTCATAAATGCCTGTGATTAGGATACTGTGCCCTTCAAGAGAAATGATATCTCCCTTAACTCAAAGAAGTTGTACTTTCTGCATAATAAAAGCCAATGATACATGATAATCTTATATGAGAACTGCCATTAAAGATTTGAGATACTGCATTATCTTTGGTCTTCCTTGGTTATCTATCCATACATTAAGAAAATGTCTGCAACATAGAACTAAATCATGTTGGACACAAAGATTTCTGTATGTACAGAGCATTATATGGAATGAATTTCTGTGTAAACCATAAGGATCTGAAATCAGGAAGCATTAGTTAGCTGTTACTAGGCAGTGATACTAACTTACCTTTAATCATCCTATCATATTTGCAGCTTAACAAATAACTACTCTTCAGCATATTAATGGACAGTTGAGTGAAACAAAAGACAATGATAAGCTAAGGGTTCCCACATCTATCTTTGAGAAGTTGAAACAGCTTCTTGATGTCAGTATCTGTCCTCTAAACAATAGCCACTACCAAAGCTTTGTGCAATTTGAAAAACATGATTAGCATTCCATCAGTGAGTTGATCTGACCATTAAAACATATTATCCATATTTACTGTAGAGAATATTAAGCTGTGACTATCCAGGGAAGACACCAAAATTATCAGGGCAGCTAGAAAAAAATAGATGATTGAATTGGAAAAGGTTTATATTAATATTCCAGTTTCTTATAAGTATATATCAGAAGTTTTAGGGTAAGTAATCTGAATGTTTATTACTAATCAGGGAGGCTGCAAAGTATCTGACAGAAGCTCTTCAAGCAGCTAATGAAGTGGAACTAGAAGACATGATAGAAAATATAATTGATGCTGTTGAAAAACAGTCTTGTAAGTAAACTTTTGATTTTCTTAAATTGTTTGAAAAAAATCAGTTTCTCTTATTGGTAGCACTATTGTAGAGCTATGCTGTTCATGATAATTGTGTATTATGTGGTATATCACGTTGGAAGCTGCTGGCCCTTTGCAAGGCTTTGCAGGAGGAAGGCTGGGCTGAGAGTGAGCAGAAGGCCTGCGGGTAGGTTCTGTTGGCGCTGGGCTCACTTCCACCCCTCAGCAAAGCCCCGCATGCTGATTCTCCAAGAGCACTTCCAACATAAGCTGCAGAGTGTGTGCTGGAAATGCCCTTGGAGAACCAGTCTGTGGGCTTCAGTGTGTTGGAAGCTGCTGACCTTTCGCAAGGCTTTGCAGGAGGAAGGCTGGGCCAAGAGCGAGCAGAGGGGCTGGGGGGAGCTCTCTGGCATTGGGCTTGCCTCCACCCCTCGCTGGAGCCTAGATTTCCAGGAGTGCTTCCAACGGGGGCTGCAGAGCACATGCTACGCCTCCAGGAAGCCCTCATCCTTTCGCTTCCTCCTGTTCTGCTGCCACCCCAAACAGCTCCTTTTGCACAGCCTCCACCTTTGCCTGGGGAGCTGCTGCCACCGCTTCTGCCTCATCTGGCAATGGAGAGCACTTCGCCTTGCCATCTTGCCCTGCTGCCTCCTCTCCAGCCGGGCCCAGCAAGCTCCCTTCAGCAGATGAGGCTCTGCCACCCTGCCATGCTTGCCATGCGCATCCCAGGGCTGCTCCCTCACCCAGCACCTGGATCCTGGGCCAGCAGCAGGAGGAAGAAGATGGTGAAGCACTGAACATGTTCTTCCGAGATAATGCAAATAGCATTAGCAGCTAAAAGAATAGATTCTGTGCTTCATGAACTTAACTTCTCCTGGTGTGTAAGGGATACTAGAAAGAGTGGGGATTCCTAAAAGGGGGCATGAACCTTGGAGCTGCTGTTCTGTAAATGTGAGTGGCTGATATATGAAACCAGCTATTATTGTATGGGTGGCAAACACATTTAATAAATAAATAAATAAATAAATAAATAAATAAATATGATTTATTCATCAAATCGCAGTGAAAATGAATCTGGCTTAGTGTGATGTGTGAGCAAGCACAGCAGTGAATTGATGGTTGTGTATTAGTCTGAGGGCATGGCTGCATCCTAACCTCAGCAATCCGCTCATATGGGGATGAAAGAATAGTTTTAATGGAAGAGAATATCAGGGTTGAACTGTGGAGTCCTTGATACTCTCTGAGCTTGGTTATTTGCTTGCAGACGTTTCATTACCCAACTAGGTAACATCAGTACATGTGAGTGGGGTTTATAACCTGTTTATAACCAACAGACTATTACAACCACACAGCATCACCATAGCATACAAACCAACTAAAGCCCTCCAAAACATCTTAAGTAAACAAAAAGACCCAGTAGCCCAAGAAGAAAAAACAGGAGTCATCTACAACACACAGTGTAAGGACTGCAACAGCTACTGTTAGGACAGACAGGCAGAAGACTAGCAGAGCATATCCATGAACACCAACTAGCAATCAGAAGACATGAAGAAGGCTCCTTAATCTCACAATACATAGACAGACTCAACCACAGTTCCAGCTGACAAACTCTGAGGTTTCAGGTGGGAAACCTAGACCAAACTAATTCCAAAAATGCTAGGGAATTCCTGGAAGCTTGGCATTCAGACAAATCAGCCATCAATAGACACATATAAATAAACCATATTTACACAGCATTCAAAGGAGACAATAAAAAAGCTAAGAAGGAAACCAAAAGAACACATCCACTCCAGCAGCCCCCACCCAGATAAGCAAGGATTAACATCAGACAATCAAGCAGAAAACAATACCCTAATCAAGGAACTACCAAGGAGAAAAGCACACCCCCACCAACACTGGCAGGGCAAGCTTCGGTATATAAACAGGCTGCAAATCCCATACTCACTTGCACTGATGATGTTACCAGCTGAGTAATGAAATGTCTGCAAGCAAACAACCAAGCTCAGAGAGCACCAAGGACTTCACAAGAATAGTTTCTTAAATTGACATAGTGTCTGGTAGTCACGTAGTGTGCTGACCTGTGTCTTTTTTTCTCCATGCTGCTTTCTGGGTATGTAAAATATACTGAACCCGTGGGGTATATTAGCTACACAGGCTGGACTTGCACAAAGTTCTAGACTAAAATGTGGCTTGCTAACTCTAGTACATTGCAGAAACCCACTTATTAAGTTCCCATTGTTTCTTTAGGTCTTCCTATAAATTCATTAGAAGCTTAAGCTGAGAGGTTTTGCAGAAGCCTTGCATAGAAATGATAGTACATGGAATTTTTTCCCAATCCTTGCTGTATTGCTGTAATAGTGATTATGGAGTATAATTCTCCTCTGTTCCTTGCTCTATTCTTGGAAGATAAGCCAAAATCATTGGCATGGTACAACTGATAAATTAACTGAAGTTGGTAAAAAATGAACCACCAAAACCATTTGGGCCTCTAATGAACAGTTCCCCAAAGCTGCTCCTTATCAGGTTTGCCACTTCATATAGAAAAGATTGCACATATAGCCCAAGTGTTATAAGAGTACTTGGGGGTTTGAATATACAACTAGCAAGATCATCTATGTGTACAACTCTGTTTTGAGCGTTGAGGCCATGCCTTCTAAACGCTTTTAGTTCTATCATGATTTCTTTTGAAGAGATTTAATATCCTTTAAAATTATTTCTTTTGTCTCTAATTGCATAGACTACAAGTTCAATATTTTGGAATATTCTTTTCAGTGTCATGCAACATGGTTGAAAGGCCCATGGTGGAAGCAGCAGTCTTGGAGTGCAGCAAATCGTTAGATGAAGCAATGTATGTTAGCATCCTTTATTTTAAAACAAATCAACATATCACTGGGAAGTTGTTTGCAATCACGTTGTTAATTGCCCTGTATCTATCTCCCCTGTTGATATTTTGAATTTAAAGCTCATTAACATTCAGTCTTTCTCTGGTTACTAGAGCTCCTGAAGAGTTTTAAAATCTTTTTCTAATATTAAAATGTCATGTCTAGAAGCATTATGGCTTACACCAGGGAGTATAAATAATAGTATTTTAAAAGGAAACTGTTTTAGAAGAACCTGTATAACTGCATGAATGCAAACTTGTCTTTTCTGTATTATCAGTGATTCTGTTTGCTCAGAGACTCTATCTGGTTAAACTATAATATAAACAAGTATTGTATTAAGCTACATATTGTTTTAACTATTTTTTAAGAAGCCACATAGACTGGGTTTGGGGTCATTTCCTGAGGTGGCAAAAGGACCAAATAAATTACTCTTTAATCTACAAGAGAGTTATATAATCACTTTAAAAAGTGGTTGAAACAGTATGTTAAAAGAGAATGTAAAATGATTTATTTATAAATGTAAAAATAGATTATGTTATGATAGAATTTTTCAAAGGATGTGCATTTTTTTATCACAGAGAACATAATTTCAACATTATTGGAGCTTTTGATATTCCACGATATATTTACAATTCTGAACGAAAGAAGTTTCTACCGTAAGTTCTTATTGTATAATTGTTGAACAATTTGGATTTCAGCTACTTTCACATTTTAAAGTTATGTAAAACTCATTTCCTATTTCTTTATTTTATAAGGAACAGTTTTAATGTCTTTTATTTCCTTTTAAAAATACATTTTTTACCCAAATCTAAATTTATTTCAGCCTCTCAATGACCAACCACCCTGCACCTAACTTATTTGGCTCTGCCAGGGATAAAGCAGAATTGTTTCGTGAACGTTACATCATTTTGCAGCAGGTGAGAAAAGTGGAAAGTTTTAAGTCCACCTAGTACTTAATTATAGCACAAAAGTGTTTTTGAAAATAACCAAACAATACTATGAAATTGTTCGTTTTGAGAGCATGAGTCACCAAGAATCGAGCTTGTCTCAAGGGAGACTTTTATTCTGATATTAATAAATTATTATTACAGTCCTAAACATCCTTGCTAGGAACTAAGATCTGTTTCTTATGAATATAAATCAGTTTCTGGATAATAATTCATAGGCTCTACTGTTACTGAGTTCTAGAGAGTAGGTATTCTAGTCTGCAGTCATTCGGGTCTCTTCCTGCAAGGGTAAAGATATTCAACAGTCTTTCGCTGTTGCCCCTTGTGTGTGGAATCAAATAAAGTCTAAAAGCCATGAAAGACCATTCTTATTGCTGAATAAGAATTTGAGAGTAGTCCTGCCTGAAAAAAATGCCTTAATCATAACTGCACATTGCTTTTCTTTTTAATTGACTCATATTTATTATTGTGCAGAGAACCCATAGGCATGAATTATTCTCACCATCTGCTGTTGGCGCACACACAGATGAAAGCAGAAATAAATTCCAGGTAAAATCAAAATGCTAATGACATATACAACTGGATTGACCTCAATCTAAAGAATAATCTTCCTCAGAATAACCTTTCCTGCCAGATGTCTTGGACTATACTTCCCATAAATTTAAGACAATGTGGGAATTATTGGTGTCTGAATTTAACACATCTGGAAGGCATTAGGTTGGAGAAAACTGTTTTTGAATTTTGGGTGATGTTTTATTGTGCCTGACAAGTCCTACTGAAGGGTTTGGAATTGTGTTTTTCAAACAGCAGTTAATCTGCTTAGTACCAAATATCTTTCGAAAGGAAGGGTAGTTTTGAAAGTTTAGAGTGTACCATTCATAAGGAAAAGCAATTATATCTGGGAATTTACATTTGAAATATAGTATCACAGCTTATTCTTGATTCCAGTGCACGTGGACTGTGGATGGGCAACCTTTTGGTGGCTGTAGGCCACACATCATTGGAGAGGAGCTGAGGACTGCATAGGAGTGAGGCCAATTCACAAGTGGTTGGGGCTGTTTTTGGAGAGTAGTTTGAGGAGGCCTATACTAGTTGTATGGGAATACATGGGAACGTACAATAGGAAGTTTTGCCTTCAGTTTTTGGGAATCATGGTTGTGGGGGATTCGTGGGCCATAAAAAAGTGTTCTAAAGATCACATGTGAGCATTATTAATTCAGTATCTCTTGATTCCAGCTCAAAACTGTAGAAACTCTCTTGGGCAGCTCTGCCAAAATGGGAGAAGTGATTGTTCTTGGCATGATAGCCCAGCTTAAGGAGGTAAGCTCTGTGGTACAGATGATCTGTACTGTGTTTAGAAGGTAACAGATAGGATTCATGCTTCGTTTTGACGAGAGAGAAGAGCTTTACTGCCAAACATTCAGTAAACAGATGTTGGGAAAAGGTAGGAATATGGTTTTACCTAGTGAGCGAATATTAAAACTGAGTTTTAATGGTTTTTTCCAATCCTTTTAAGGGAAAGTTTTTCTTGGAAGATCCTACTGGAGTTGTGCTATTGGACCTTAGTAAAGCAATATCCTTTACCTGTGTATACAATATAAACAGGAGCTTTTTCTTAAATTAATTTTTAAGCTATGTTTTGTAGTGTGGCAGTTTAAGATTTTCATCTAATTGGATTTTAAATGATAAGTATGATTCATGGTGGTAATAAAGGATCTATTTTTAGTATTATATTTGCCTATGAAATTTTGTGCTATTGTACAATTAACCCTGTTACAAATAGTTATTTTAAACTTGGTTTACTGCTGCCTAGTAAATATCACCCTTAACAACTAATACCAGTTCCACAGTGGTTTATATACAGAGTCATGTTTTGTTTTAACAGAAGGTAAGAGTTCTGTAATGGGTTATATACATAATCGTGTTCTATTTTAACGAAAATTAAGGTGGATTGTTTGTGTATAATCATTTTTGCTTGTTTAATTACTTCAGTAAGGTCTGATTTGTGATCCAGCATATTTCTGGGAGTCTGATCCATAATTCAGTTCAACTTGTGTAATAATTATTCCTATTCCTGTCACACGTAAATCACATAAAAGACCCATAATGATAGACTTCAAATACTGCATTAAGCCATAATGGGAACTATGTGGTTTGGCTTAGTAGCTTTAGCCATTTTGGTTTGTAAACCATTGTTTATGACTCAATGCAATGTGTGATCCCAATGAATCATGGTTTATCTAGTTAACCATGGTTAAGCAAGCCACAGCTTAATGTATGTAAACCCAACCAGTCAGTACCTTGTAGCTGGTATTGTAGAATATAAATCTGACTATATAAATATTGATATAAATATTAACTACTGTATTTCTGTTGTGAAATCTTAGAAGCAAAAACAATGACTTTTTGATGAGTTCTCAGCTGAAAGAACATTTGTTTAGCTGGTTTTGGGCAACCGCTTTCAAAATACCCTGCTTAAATCTGAGTCTCAGAAAAAAAAAATGTGAGAGATTTAGATTGACACTGTGGTTATAGGTATCGTTTCCTCTTTTGAAATGATGAAAAGATATACCATGTGCTTCACTTACTTTATTCCACAGGCTGGTACGAAGATGAAGTATTTCATGTCACTGCTTTTGGATTCCCTCCTACAGAATCTTCTGCTACAACTAGGTATTTTATTTATTTCCTGTACCCTCAGGAGGAATGGTCTATGCTTATGTAAGAAAAAGACAGCAGCTATGCACATGAAGATGGAATAATTGCTTGGGTAAACCCCAAGGTTTACAAAAATACAAAACAAACTTTAAGGAAGGAGAGATCTCATGAAGACAGTCCCATAATTATTCAGCAACACAGAATACTGACTGAGAAGAAAAAAAAGACCTATCTGGGTTAGAGGGGAAATGGACTACAGTAGCTAGAAAAGGGGAGAAGAGGCAAATAAGGTATACGGTAGAAAGAAGCATATTGGATTAGAATACTATCTGTATTGAGTAGTTATTTTTAAATGTTCCCAGAAACAAAAATTGAGATTTGCTCCTAGAAACCAATTGGGAAATCAGATTGTAATGTCATCAGAATTGCACATGAGTACCCTATTACTCTCCCTAAAAATAAGCTTGCAGTAAAGAGGAAAGTTCCTGCTTTTTAAATTTAAAGTGAAACATTAATTTAAAAATAACACTATTAATGCAAATTATAATGCAAATAGAGTATATTACCCTTTTTTTCAAGCTGGAAATGGCAGCAGTTGGGCCAGACGGCCTATAATGTGGTTCATATTGAAAGCTATAAGTTCAAAATGGATTGTAACAGCCTGGCAGCTTTGTTACTTATTAGGATTAGACAAAGTTGAAAACAATTTTTAAATAGTAGGATAGGGAGGAGAATAAGACAACTTTGTCCAACCTCTATTATTATAAACGCTAATGTAATCTGTAGAATGATGCTGAAAGTAGTGTAAAGCAGACCTCAGTTATTAATATTTTAAGTCAGAGGTAGGACTAAAGCTGGTTTAGATTTTGAAATAATTTTTTTCCCACCACCAGTTTACATCAAAGGCCAATATTTTTTTTTTTTAATAAAATTTTTTATTTTTTACAACAAACACAAAACATACATAAACAAA